TTCTAGGATCTTCCTTGATTGGAGGTTTTTAGACGTTGTTGTTGGGCGAGCTGATGTATGTCAACCCTGTCGTATAATTGGTTAAATATGCCCGTTTGGTTTATCTTCATAGCTGGGGGAAAGCAGGGCACAACCAGAGGCTAATCTCGTTGCTTTGCGTAGTTGAATGTTTAGTTTTTCTTTCTGGATTCTTGTGAGGGTCATGTAGGGAACTGCGACGCGTGACACAATGAGTGCTTCAATTATCTTTCTGATATCGTGCTCCTTCATACCACTTTTCTTTCTTGTGATTCGGCTTATCATTTGCGTGATTTAGCTAATTTGTTTGTGCATCTGTCTATTCATCACACTGCTTTGCCCTTTTCTTGAAGGATTATCCCAATATTTTTATGGGAGGTTTTCAAGGTATGGGGTGGTCGCCAGGTTTCAGCTTCTTGTTGTCTGCCGTTGAGGACTCCTGTGTATTCCGTTTTGGTCGGTGAGCATTGGAGACTCATGTTCTTCGTATATTCTTGAATTGCATCGACGTCCTCTTGTAGTGTTGTCTCTTGCTGCCCGGGAGAGTCCGCAGTGCACGGCAAGCAGATGTCGTCCACGTAGAAATTGAAGTTTAGGTCTGGGATGGTCCTGGAGTTTTTTTTTTGGAAGGTTTTTTAGTGCCAGGTTAAAGAGAGTATTGCTCGTAGTGGGCATGCCTCTGGGAAATGAAAATGGCGGACTTGCATAATCGTCAATTTGTATTTCAAGTATCCGATTCGTTAGGAAGTTCCTTATGTAGTTGTGCATCCTATCCCCGAGTTTGGTGTTTTCTAGATTTTCTAGTACAGCTTGGATGTGTGACGCTGTCAAAAGCCTTGTGGGTGTCTTTGCCCACGATTGTTCTGGTCTGGGTCGTGCTGGATGGTTCAGACTTTTTGTTGAAGTCTTAGCATGCAATCTTGCGTGGTCACGTGTTTGTGAAATCCTGTCATTGTGTTGTGCATGAGATTTGTGTGCTCTAGGTGTCATTTTAGCCTTCTAAAGACCTTTTTTTTTCTTCTAGCTTGTCTATGCAGCACATAAGAAATATTAACCTAAGTTTTTCGATTTTGTTTGGTGGTTTGCCGATTTAGGTATGGGGGTGAATTTAACTTCTTTCCATGCTTGTGGTATTTTGATTGTCTCCCACGCTTCGTTAATGTGGTCAAGAAGCGACTGGAGGTAGTTGCCAGGGAGGTTTTTGAGAATGGGATATGTGATGTCATCCTTGACTGATATGGCGTTTCGCGTAAACAAGTACAACACTGTGCTTACTTTCCCCATTGTAGCGAGAGCCGATTCCTTCGTTCTCCTCCTCTTCTGCTTCTTTCCATTTGAACTCTGTTAAAAAAGTGTAGTTTGTTATTGTTTGTATCTTCTGGGTACAGAAGGTCTCATAGTTCATTGTCGATTTCTCGCTGAGTTTTGTTGGTGGCGATCTGAAGTTCACGCAGGCTGTTTTGCGGTTTGGTTAGTCCAATCAGTGATCTGAGAATTAGCCAGACCTGTGACGAATGCAGTTTCCCGTGGAAGTTGTCGCACGTTTCTAGCCAGTTGTTTGTGGCAAGGTCTTGTGCATAGACCTGGGCTTCCTCTGGTTTTGTTTCTCATCCATTTCTTGATTAGCGCGCGTCGATTTGGGGGGCGTCATCGGTTGGGAGGACGCTTCTGGTGTATTCTCTATGTGTTTCTCGGACGTTGGTGGTCCACTCTTCAAGATTGTTTGCTTTGGATCCGCATTCTAGGTGGGTTCGTAGTTTTTCCCATCGTGTGATACGAGTTCTTTTGACACGGTGTCGCGTTTGGTCTCTTCCTGTGTACTCTATAGTAGTTATGAGTGCGTAGTGATCACTCCTAAGGTTCCCTAAAGTGTTTCCCAGGTTTTTTTTCCCCACATGCCACGTAAGATCCGGGTTTGTATCCTTTTCGACACTCTTACCTGTTTTCATTGGTGTAGTGGTGTCATTGATTAGAGTTAGGTGGGCATCGTTAGCCGTTTGTTCTAAGGTCCTGCCAGGTTCTAACCCCACGATACGTTGTGACAGTTAAAATTACCAACCAGGATTATGTCTTAAGATAATTTGGTTCTTGGTTTGTTTGGCCTGGTAAATTTCAGCTATCTGGGCTAGGGTTGGTGTGGCGGGATGTTCGGTCCGATTTGGTTTCTGGGGTGCCGTCGCTAGGTGTACAGTTTGTGCGGGTTCTTGGCTGGTTGTGTCTGTTTCCATTGTGGTCGATCGTCTAGAGGACCACCCGCATCGCGTTAGCCAAGTTGTATGGGTTAGGGCGTTTTCTAGCCTGCATGAGTGCCTGTTTGTATGTAAGAGATCCTGTCATTCGTGTCATATGTGTTTGCTTTTTTGGGGTCTATAGGTTTGGGGGGTGGGGGTGGGAAGAGTGCACCGCTCACCTTTTTGGGTCCCGGTACGCTGAGGCTCCTCGCCCTTCTCATTCCTCGTGTTGTTGTGTTCTTTGGCGGTCTAAGTGGCTGTTTCTTCTGCTCCTGATGTGCTGTTCGGTGGTTCTCCTGAGGCGTCTTGGTGCGTTGTGATGCCTTGGGGGGCCTACCCGGACTAGGACTGGACTGTCTTAGACCTAGGAACTTGTTGAATATTGTCGTCGTGTGGAACGGGGGCCAGTTTTCAATTGTCCGCAGGAGTGGTTTAGTGTTGGTGGTTTCATCGTTTTGCCCTCTGCGCTCGTCCATGCTGATTGCTGATGCTCTCTATGCGAAATGTTGAGTGCTGCGTCTGCTTTGGCTCTCATCGGGCATATCGAATCTGTGAATGGGCGTTCGTCTCCGCGGTTGCGGCAGTGCGGGTCACAATCAGGGGGGGTTTCGAGTCCGATCTCTGGCGGGAGTTCGATACTGCATGTGGGGCAGATGGTAATGTTGAGTCGTCTAGGGCAAACCTCTGCTCGATGCCCTATTTCGTAGCACTTGTAGCATAGGAGACTGCGGGGTCTGTGCGGGTAGCAGCGCATTGCTCCGTGAAAGATGAGGAACCGGGGTACTATAGATCCCTCAAAGGTGATAAGGACGATGTAAATTTGCCCACCTGGTGAGCGTATAGAATTCTGGGGCCTTCTGATCTTAGGTGCTCTCGGAGCTCAATCTCGGGGGTGTTCGCGGCGATTCCACGAACCACACCCTGACCAAGCTGTCGGAGATGGCTCCTGGGATGACCAGGTATGTGCGGATCGGGTGTTTTCCGTCTTCGAGTTCAATTTCGGTGAGATTAAGGAGCTTGGATTGTGCTGATACTTTGTAGGTGTCTGCAGCGATTAGGTCTTGCACAATGCGCGTCTTGATGTATGTGCCTTGTTTTTCAGCTTTAGTGAGTCTTGTAGAGTGCATGACCGCTGCTGCTGTGAACGCGGGCAAGTGATGGCTTACGTTCGTGCCATCTTGCGGTTTTAGGATGATGGTTTCAGCTACCGCGCCTTTGGGACACCCGTATGTGACGGTAGTCCAGGTACCGTTCATGCTTTAGCTTGCGATGAGGATGAAGTTTGCTGGGAGACTACCGGGTGTGCCAAGTAGCGGCCAGGTGCTTTTTTGGTGCTTTTTTTTGTAAAATTTGCAAAGCGCGAACTTACCTGAGAAAAAAAGTAGAGAAAGAAAAAAGCTCAGCGCCTATGGAAACGCAGCCAAGCCACCGGTCTTCAAACAATACGGCGCCGTTTCGCACGGGAGACAAGTGATGGCGCAAACGGTCGCGACCCCAACTGCCGCATACGAACGAGCATACGGCGCCGAGAGCCGGCGTCTTTAGCAGACGATCTTTCCGACTCAAAAGCGGCGCGAGGTTTTTTCATATCAGTTGCCAATGCATTATTTTACCATACTTACTAATAAAACACATTGAATGGACATATAATCGATTAAAAATGGTTTGTCGGGTTATTTGACCTGTTTTTTTTTCGTGGTACTTATGTCGTGTGCTTTGCAGTTCCTTGTTACCGCGCCTGTTTTTGTTTCTGGGACTGTCGCCGCCTGCGAAACGCGCGCCGTTTTTGAGTCTAAAAGGTCGTCTGCTAAAGACGCCGGCTCGGCGCCGTATGCTCGTTCGTTGGCGCCAGTTGGCGTCGCGACCGCTTGCGCTATCTCTTGTCTCCCGTGCGAAACGGCGCCGTGTTGTTTGAAGACCGGTGGCTTCGCTGCGCTTCCGTAAGAGTTAAGCCTTTTTGTTTCGTTATTTTTTCCTCAGGTAAATTCGGTCTTTGCAAATTTTACAAAAAAAAAAAAAAAAGCATCATTAGTGGGCAACGCTGCACAAAATCGTAGCGCGATAGGTTAAGAAACCGAATTTTGCGGTCGATTTAAAGAGCCTGGCCGCTACTTGGGACATCCGGGTGCTTCGAAAGTAGCGTATGGTCTACTCACGAGCAGGGCCGAGGTGCCAGGGCGGCTGCGCCGTCGCAGGCCTTTGGCGTTCCTGACCGAAGGTTGGATGTCGGGGTGTTCCTTGGGTGATAATCTTCCCCGTGATCATACTGTCAAATCTGGGGATGCTTGAAGTAGGGTTTTAGAGGTGAATTCTGAGGAGCGCTTGTCTAAAGCTGCCGGCTATTCGGAAGTAACTTCTTTTCCACGCAGTAGTGTATGTAGTACACGACCGCAAGCCGGTACGATGCTCATCTATCTTTTCCTCACCCAGATCGAAACGGGCAGGGGTGGGGAACCCGGGATCTTGTGCCCAGGATCCTTGGTCAACGCCTTGGTTTCTGCAGCGCGAGCTTTCGCTCCACGTGCTTCAAGCTCATGTGCGCTATCCCGCTCGGCCACCGATCTTGCTGGCTCCTGGTTGCCGGTGCTGTGGCAGCTCTGGCGTGAAGAAGGACGAAAAGCGGGTGCGGGGCTCGCGGTGTGTGGGGGGCAGCGACTGCAGCACCGGGGGCCGCACGGAGGGCGCGAGGATGCACAGAAGCCAGGACCGGGGCGCGTCGCGCTGAGGGCCGTGGCAGCGACGGCGGCAGCGATGCCGTCCGAGGGCCGCGCCGAGGAGGGCTCGCCCAACGATGGGTCCGAGAACGAGACATCGAGCATGGGCGAGGTGTCCATGTGCCGCATCTGCTTCAGGGGCGCCCGCGCCGGCAACCTGCTTTCGCCCTGCAACTGCAAGGGCACTATCGGCCTGGTGCACAAGGAGTGCCTCGAGGAGTGGCTCTCACGCCGCAACACGGACGAGTGCAACATCTGCTCCTTCCAGTTCAAGGTGCCTTCCCTTCCACCGCCCCGATGATATAACAAAAGCATGCAGCCGAACCGGTGAACTTTCAATATCTTGAACACTCGAGAAAGAGTGCACAACTTACACACAGTTCTGTGTGTGCCTGTGTTCTCCACTTTTTTTGGTCCTAAAACTCAGGCGTTCAAGATGTTATTTTTGCGTTCGCTTCGGCACGCGCTGGCGGTATTTGGTACAACTAGGAATATTGTCGCAACAAGAGATGTCGTTCACCGTTCCCCCATACGTCCCTAAAGTTTATTGACTTTACCTGTTGAACTTTGAAGACAACACGAGGAGTTGCGTTGCGAACCTACGAAACCAATTATTTCTACGGATCGCGGAAGCGGGGAGGGGTGGGGGTTTGCGCAATGACTATATCACGTGCTAAAATACCCCATTCCATTTATGTTGCTTTTTAAACGCTCAATTCGTGCAGCATTCAGTCAGAGCGACCAACCTTCAACGCCCCATCACGTCTGCTCCGAGCTGATCACTCACAGACAGACCTCACGCGCGCAATATGTGCCACGGCACTTACACCGGCGTACCGAGTCCCACCGAGGGATCACTACAAAACGCTTAGCGGCAGTTGCGACGGAAGAACGTGACGACCGCAGCAAGTAGCAGATCGTTCTGGCATCACGCGCCGCCGACCACGCGCAAACAATGGAGCCACTGGCGGGGACAATGGCACGATGCGGAAGGCCGCTTTGCCGACCCAGGCAGCGGACGGTAGCGCTTTACGTGCAAGGTAGCTGGGCTCTGGTATTTACCGAAAAACGAGCCTCACAAATAATTCTGTTGGCTGAATGACATTTCGGCGAGTCGATGTAAAACTGCCGGAAGTCCAGCCCCTGCATTGGGTTTGCACCTTTGCTCTCTTCAAGTTCATGGTGTCTTGTACAAAAAATGTTGTTGCTTGGATATTGGCGTCGACACTTGTCGTTGGTGGAGTATAGTAAGGCTGTCTTACGCATTTTTATTCGCGTGTGCTCGACTGCGTTGCAGCCGCTTTTAATATAACCGCTTATGACGAGATAGCGCACTTGGGCCATCTATCGGGTAGCCTTGAAATGCTTCCGATCTGTGTACATATATATGACGCATCATTATTACTTCGTGATTCAAAACATTCTTCGAAGGGCCGGCGCGAACTAGGTATTAATGTCACTCTACGAAAGCACCGCCTGCTAAAGCTCGACGTCCTTCTTAGTTTCTCGACTATTGGTTTTCGGAAAGGTTTTTGCTGAAACTCCATTTCGCAGAGCTCAACTGGCCATGCATATTCCGTTCGAAATTAAGCTGCTACCTTAAGACATCAGCATCGGCGCAGTGGCGGATTCAGAGGGGGCGGAGGGGGGGGGGGGGGGTTCTCAAATATATCATACTCTGACCTTCCCCCCCCCCCCCCCCCCCACACACACACACACCTGCATCCACCCTTACATCGACGTATGCCTCTGACTTCACGTCAAGAAGGCTGTGGCTCTGGGTGTCGATGGAGCACGCGCGAATGTTTCATGCTTCAGGTGCAGTGCCTGAAATGCATATCCAACTGGTCTGTTCGCCTTGTATTCCGCCCACGCATTGAAAGTGGTCCCATAACGGCAAAACATGACGTCTTAACCACCGGAATGCCATGCTGTTTGATGTCGCGATCCTGAAAAAAAAAAAACGCAAAAATACAACGAAAAAAAAAACAAAAAAAACGGGTGAACGCTAGTGCCGCTGTCGTTACGGCGCCCCAACTCCCGGTTGTCGAAGCTTCCGTGGACTTTCGAGTCGAAGAGCGACCTGGAGCTGAACAGGAGTCAACCACATCCACCACCGCCACTGTGGCACCGCCAGGATTGCGGCCGGCGACAACGTGATTCTTTTTATGATGCCATCAAGCAAAAATCGAGGAACCATTTTTTTTTAGAGGGAAGGGGGGGGGGGGGGCGGGCGGTAAGCGAACCAGTCGGAGACACGTTCCAGGCACCGTACCCCAGAAAATACGGCGTGCAAGTTCGTCTGCTCCTTGCGCAGCTCCTGCCTTTGTTTACCCCCCCCCCCCCCCCCCCCACACACACACACACACACCAAATGAGCACCTTAACCAATGACTGTGTGCGCTTGGCTGGCTGCCTCGTCATCGCTCTCTCCCTGCACGTTTGCTATGCTTCCTTTCATTGTCGTGTCCCGAATCGCATTCCCATGCGACAAAGACGCACTTTGGAACACTTGCTCAGCGTATTCGCAACTTCAGCAACCCATAGACGACGCCATTATTGGAAAAATGTGGTGGTCTAATACAGGTCGTGCCATGCCATGTGCCAGCTCAACGCACAACGCTGGGGCGTCAGCGAGCGAACATTGGGCTCAAGATGGTTTGCTCCGCTTTTTATCATGCACGTGTCGAACCTGCGGCGATGCGCTGGCGTAAGTGAGCTTCCAGAAGCTCGACTTTCTTCGAGGAAGCGATGAAAGGACTTCCTACTGTCCTTCCGCCGTCCTGATGAAGGTTGATAAACGCGGAATGTCTGGTTCACACGGTTGCGTAGGTCGCGTGCAGAGCAACCTGGGAACCGGCTGGTACTGCAGTTACGGTAGAGTGATCGGGAAAACTGCTGTATCGCGCAAACCACCGACAACATGTAATCATGGAAGCCACGAGAGATGAGCAGACATCGCGAAAGGACCTGTTCATGCCAGTTCAGTGTTTTTCCGATAGGTGCCGTCCGTTTTGCTGGAGTCACGAATATGCTTGTGCGAATTCACTGAAGTTGTTACGTTGAATTTTGACGTTGCCAGGCTGGCGATTAGAAAAGGGGGTAAAATTCGAAGGGTTCATATAGTCGATGGCAGATTAAGAGTATAGTGCAAGCTCCTGCCACCTCTTTCCACAATAGAAGAGCGAACGCTGTCAACACCGCCAGCGTTCGCTCTGCTGCAGGGGAAAGAACTGGGAGGAGCTTTCACTTTCCTAACCGGCCAACGACCTAGAGCTATTTGTTCTTCATACTACTTTTTTTTAGTATAGGTCCACGGAGGCTCTATTTCATTTCATGTCGCGCAATTCAGCTTCGTCCAGATTAAACGTGGTGACTGTTCACGGGAAAACAGTCTATGAATTGGTTTACAATACACGTCAATTGTTTGATTGTTTCGAGCAACAAAAAACGTGTGATCGAAATACACTGTCACGCGCTTGAAACATCGATTTATTTTAGTTTTGTCGTATTTTCACTCGCCGCTGCTGTATTATTATTGTTTCTCGCGTTTTTTTGTTTTAGAATTGTTTTCGCAGCAATTTTGGTTAAAAAATTCAGAAATAATGGTATCTGAAGAAGACCGTGCGGCGATTGTCGCGCATAACAAGCGGGGAATGCCAATTCCGGATATCGCCAAGCTTTTGAATTTCGACCGAACACAAGTCCTTCACGACCGCACCGAAATTTTTGAGAACCAACGCGAACTGCTCTCCAAAGGAGCTCCGCGCGTTGTAACCCGGAAAATGTCAATTTTACGAAGTCGGCCATGATCTGGGCTGGAGAATCCGGATTGGACAAGACCAAATTGGTTTTTGTCCCCAAAGGGGCAAAAACTAACGCCCAACCCACCGGGAGTTCATTGTTTAATTTATATGCAATATTTCCTGCCCTTTCGAATTGTGCATGAAACGATTTTTTGTTTTGTTAGCTAAGTAAAAAGTTATGGCTGTTTTTTTTTTTTTTTTCGTGGGACAGTATTTTTCGATCATCCTTCTAACTCACTGCACATATTTTTCACTGGTGTTATGTGCTCGTTCCGCGTTAGTGTGGGGTAAAAATATTAATGCTGGTTTTATTGAATGAAATAAACTGATTTATCCAACCGGGCGAGCGTTTCTCCGCTCTGAGCAACATTGGTTAGTCTTGGCAAGGTTCGACGTATTAAATCGCGTTTATCGCGTTCTACGACGACGTTCACTACTCTACCCAACGTAGAGGCTAAAATATTTAAGCTGGCGTGCTGGTATAGGTTTAATATGCGTATCAAATACCAAGGGTTCTTTCAGTCTCGGGTACTCACTATCAACTATTACCTATACTTGGAAGAATCTGCACGCTACACACCAAAAATAAATTAAAAAAAAGCTCAATAAATTGTTAGTGACTTTTCTTTTAATACGTTGACTGAAATAAAATAGTCGCAGTACATATTTTAATGCATTTTTTGGGAAATCTTTACATACACTATAAATATTTCGATACAAGAAGGGCAGTATCTGGTACATAAAGACTTGTCAACTGCCAGCACACTAGACACTTGCATACACTTTGAAAAAAAAACGTCTGTGAGCTCACTTACCTGCAGAACACGGAGACAGCCAACCACGGTGAACGATAGCAGGATCTCAGCAAATGACGAAGCTAAGAAATGCGATTAGACCACTAAATGCGACGAGCACAGTGAACGTGACGTTTCACTCGCCCATTGTCCCTGCCCGCACTGCATGTTTGGATCTAACCGTATAATTTTTTAAAGCATCGGCATTCTCTGGGATCCTGATATTGTTCGCTGTGGTTGCCTGTCTGCGTGTTTTGTGGAAAAGTTAACTCAAGTACTTGCTTTTAGAGTGTATGTAGTCCGCTCAGCTTCCATGAACGCCAGCAACCTAGGAACGCGTTCGTTTTCGTAGATGACGAACCTATATGTTTAACTCATGGCCGCTCTTTGCAAGGTGGAGCGTACGCCCAAGAGCATCTGGGACTGGCTGCGGGACCCGGGCAGCCAGGCAAACCGCTGGTACATCCTGGTGGACATGTCGCTGTCGCTGTTCGGCGCCGTCATGCTGCTCGTTTCTGCCTGGCTGTCGGCCGTCGAGATCATCAGCGGCATCTCGTCCGTGCTCGGCTGCGTGCTCATCGTCATCATCGTGGTCCTGGCAGGCCTCATCTGCGTCGCCGACATCTACCTCATGGTACACGCACAGAAGGCATACACGCGGTGCCGATTGCATTGGCAGGGCGAATTCGCAGACGCTCCATTTCACGCTAATCTGGCCCTGCGCACGTGCAGTACCCACGCCCCGTGGGGGCTTGTTTGTAAACAAGCCCATCTCTTTCGCATGCCCGGCCTCCAGCACGCGCTCGTTGCCTCCCGCTGTGCTCTGCATGGCTGCGAGCGCATGGATGGATGGATGCTAACGGCTGTAACCTTTATAACGGGCGGTAGCTTTCGCCACCTAGCCTAGAAATTAAGAACGAAAAGTATGATTTCTTTCCTCCGCCATTTTGCTTACCCTCTGCGATTTCGTAACTACCACCAGGCGGCGTGGAATATCACCAGGATGACATTTCGGGGAATCGGTCAAAAAACTAAAATTATCACTCCCCCGCCTCTTTCCTCCGGCGTTGGAGCATGGTACGGGCGGAAAGCTATAGCGTTCCTCACGCCACTAGCAGAGGCACACGCCTCGTGCATTGGCGGACTTGACTCTATTTCTAAAAGAAACACATTGAGGGGCTTTAGGTAAACAGTAATTTTATCACCGCAAAAATAGACAACGCAACGCCGAACGCCGTCTCCGCCCAAATGTTGGGCTGGCGATCCGAACCAGATGTTAAAGTTTCAGAACGAACTGTTATAGTATTTAAAAAAAGTTATAAGAGACTTTCTAAGAGCTTCAACGGAAAAATTGTCCCGTTTACGGTAGTTTGCGCACTTCAGCACCATCGGGTTCGAATGACACGCGAACTCTGGAGCGCGTGGCCGTCGACACATTCGGCACTTCTTGGAGTCCTCTGAATACTGATAAAACTGCGCGGTGAAGAGTATACGGAGCTGCGAGGGTGTGAGTTCTGCTCCGATGTTTATTTATTTATTTACAATGTGGCGCAAAGACAACACAGAGAGGAGGCAGAGACACGAGAGAACGTTACTCACAACTAGGTATTTACTGAATGTATCGTGAGAGAGGTAGAAGATCTTAGAACAAAAATGTTGATGCCGAATATAATTTAAACTACACCAACAGCGGCATTTGGAGAGCACGCATGATCGTCCCCAAGTTCGAAACATGCGTGCTACTTTTAGCGCGCCCGTATGGATCCTTTTGTGTTATGTTTTTTTTTTTTTTTTTTCTTACCAAGTACGTCAACATGCTCGTCTATATTTCCATACACAGACCCCGTGACTCTGAGCGGAGTCACTCCATCGGAGTTGCTATTCAGGCTGAGGATACCCATGCCAAACTAAATGAGACTTCTAAAATGGCAACCAAGGCACGGGCGCGAGTGCATAACTGTACAGATTGCATGCTTTGCACGAGTGATTGCGCACAGAAACCGCTTTTGGAAACCACACGCCCGTGCCTTTGCGAGCTCTGCAGCCAACAAGCACGCCGCGGCGTGCTTGACGGAACTACATCACCCCGACGTCTGTAAAATCTCCGGGCCCCAGAGCACCGAAAGAGGGGGATTTTGAGTTTGATCTGATAACGCCGGTTTCGTGTTCGTTTCGAGAGAACATCACCGGAGGTGTACAGGGGCTGTTCCTTACGATATATTTTGGGATAATTATTTTACGTATTTCGCATTTCACTCTCACTGAAAAGAAAAGCTAAAGCATGATATACTTGATAAATCCTAAACTAGTATAGTCTGGCCTTTTAAAGCACGAGGCGGTACAGGGACACATTACAACATTTACTGGGTTTATTAATTAAGCTTGCCCACTGCCAACAAGCCTGAAGGCTGCATCATGCACTGCATTTACAGCCGTAGTCTACACTGCAGACAGTACCACTGCTTCTACATCTTCGCGGGTTACTGCAGCACAAGACCTGCAGTATACGAGAATGAGTGCACAATGCAGTCGAATAAAATTGCAAATCAAGCAAAACGGGGAACTAATTGTATAACCTATAATAGCCTGGTGCATATATTTTCTTTTCATGCTCATGCGACGGTGAAAAAGGTACTCCGTAGTCGTTACTTTAAAAGGCGTTTAAAACAGGCCAGCCTAAATAACCTCGTTGTGACTATATTTTATACCTCGACTCTTCTCATGGTCGGTGACAGGTTAAGAACCGAGGGCGACGGGAGAAAGGACGAGCACTGAGAAGGTTGGAGAGAGGGGAAACCTCCTCTTCAGCCTTTCTAGCCCTTGTCCATTCTCCCTTCGTTCTCGGTCCTTAACTTATCACCAACTATAATGTAAAACATAATTTGAAAGTAACATGTTCATCCTTGCTAAAAGAAAACTGCATGGTAAAGGGGGCACACCTTTCCTAGGATCTAGTGGGCTGGTTAGGAGAGCATGGAGTACATACTGCACACTAAAGAGCAGTACCAGGTAAAGTGGCAAGTTAATAAGGATGTCCTCACCAGTGAAACGACTCTAAACATTGCTCACAGCAGACCATCTTCAGTTCTCCATCACCTTTTTCCTTGCAAAGACTACAAATCCACAGTTCATTGCTCCTCTTCGCAGCAACTGTGAGAAGAACAATTGCTGTTCAAAGCTCAAGCAGCCAAAAGTATGACACCATGGAAAAAATATGACAATGCATGCCGGAGGAAGTCAAGAGGGACCATGCATCTGGGGTTAAGTATTTCTTGAGCCTTGGGAGGGAAACCCTGCGGTCCAGCAGAGCTGGGCAAGGCTTCTGGACGAACTTCCACATCAGCCTCCTCCAGGAGGTATGATCCATCCAGCACGCGTTGACAGAGGCGCTTGTCAATAAAGCCAGCCGACTGAAAAGATGAAATTCAAAACAAAGTTTAAAAAAATATTAACAAAGTTTTTTTTTACATTTTGTTTTTGCCTTTTTAGACAGATGATTGATTGGCACAGGCCCGTCTTCATCCAGTTCCATTGCTCGCTTCGGTCGGTTCCGTAGCTCTCACTTTGATGGACGTCCTCGGCTCTTCACCTCAGGGAGTTTGAATTGGTAAGCGGCAGTGCATCCTTGGCAAGCACTGCGTGGTGTGTCACTATCCGGAACAGTTACATTGCTTCTGCTGCTAACACATCCAGTAACTACGTTGACTTGTTCTTGGTCAGTTTCCTCCGGTAGATTGATGTTAGACATGATGGCTGGGCGGACATCTTGTCTAGTGACATTATCCGCTACTTCAACATCTTCATGGGAACCTCTTGACGTTACATCCTTTCTCTTCAACCAAGAGGCATTCACAGACTCGACTAGGAACGCTGGGCGTGTTGCAAAGTCGTCTGCGACACCTCCAAGTGTTCGGATTGCGTCGTTGTATCGCTGGTTCCGGTTCACCTTCTCAAAAGAGGGTCCTGGCATCGATAGTATTCTTGGTTCTTCGGAACTGCCAGCGTCAGGGTTGCTTTTCGCAGAATTGTTAAGGAACTCCAGTTGGCACGACCTAAACCAGCACTTGTGAACAGCTTTTCAAGGAATGGTGTTAGATCGAACTTCACACAAACGGCGAGGAAATGTCGACAAAATAGTCCCATTTTGGAGTATGGGGTGCGGCTGCACGACTAATCCTTAAACGAAACCTTGTGGCAGACGTTGGAGCAACTGGATGAGACAGAGGAGAGCATTTTAATCTCTGGAGGAACGTCTTGTGTCTTGGCCAGCTCGTCGTTTACTAACTTGCGCTCCAAAGTATAAGCACTTTGGAGCGCTGCTTCTGGACATCTTCGGATGCTTGGTAAGAGTAAAGCTCAGAAGTCTTTAGGAGCAAGGTCTTGTGACAAACCTCGTGAAGCATGCTACTTGATAACTTCAGAAGTCCACGCAGCGCTTCATGGAGTTTTGACGACGAGGACAGGACATGTTTTATCCTGGCGTTGGGTGATTCAACACGGTTGGTAGTGTCGTTGCCGCTTGTTAATTCACGGTCGCAGAGGTGCCGAACTCACATCTCGGGAATGCTGTCCCAGTTTTCTGCGAAATAGCTGGAAACATCTGCCCTTGCAAACCTTTCGAACTCGGCCTTCGCTTCTTTGAACTTGTCTGGAGTAGGAGCGTGCAACATCTCACCAAAGCAGCTTGACAGACGTTCCCGCTCATCTGATGACTTGGCAAGCTGTCCAACCTCAGCTCGAAACGCTTTGAACACATGAAACTGACATAACTGAGCTGCTGGTGCACTCGGGAATGTCGTTCTGACGGCCGTGATTTCAGTAAAATCCTTGTCCACGATTTTTGTTTGCTGTTGCCGTGTCTTCTTTTACAAATAGCTCCGAAAAGGCGCGTGACGACATGCTGTTGGTCAGACGAGACGAAACCATATGCCACAACCTGGCTACAGCCCGACCCAACTTGAACCATCAATACGAAGAGGGTATTCGAAGTTCGTTGACACAATATGTTGCATTGAGGAGAAGAACTTCCGGGAAACAATTACATGCTTGCTGCATGTGAAGTGTTTTGACGAACAGTATCTGAAGTTTCTTGTTCTCGTCTGTGATGGCAAGCACTTTGGCATCGTAGGTGACGTTAGAGTGGCTCACTTCCTTTAACAGCTAGCTTGCTTCGTCTTGTCTATAAGTCACTTACCTCAGATTGAGGTATATTTTGCGATCACTGCTTTTCCTGCACATAAAAACAATGAAGAAAATGACGATCAGGCACACAAAAATATCTACTGAAATAAAAACATAAACTATCACCTACCACTCTGTTCTTTGAGCTCCTTCACGATGAGACTAGGAAGCACATTCAGCTCCATTAACGGTTTCACAAAGTCGATCTCTTCGGCATTCAGCTGGCAGCACTCGGGATACGTCCTGAAGATTTTTCGTGGCTTACTTCGTGGTTGTGTTCTGCTTTCAGCTCCGTGATCTCCAGCTTTAGACATGCACGTCGCGCCGTTACGAGAACTTTTGCTGGGCAGTATTTTTTCATTGTCCTAAGCAGAAAATACAACTAAGTGTCAGCCCTACACGTCCCCGCCAGTACATCGTGATCCAAAAGAGCGATCCTGCAGAAAGACTTAT